TATCCATCCACACGGATGCGGTCAGACTTTCAGAACCGAACTTAGAATGTGCCATAAAACGCCTAACTAGGTTCGGTACCAATGGAAACAATCCCGAACCAAATAGACATTCCCCCACTCCCTGAGGCTCCCCCCTCCTCCACCCGAACACAGACACCAAGAACCAGCAACCGGTTACAGAATATCGAGTAAGGTCCACGATGTCGGCCAGCCCCTCCGCCCAACACCAGACCCGAAGACGACCACTGCTGCAATGGGAAAGTCCACCGCTCTAAAAGTTCCAAATCGGAGAAGTTGAAGTCGCATCTCGCTCCTGAAGAACCACCAGAGGATAGCCAACGCGAAAATTCCCAAGAATCGGTCGGTCGTCTCACCATCCAAGCGTCAGATTCACGGCGAGACCGAGACAGAGACGGGCTGCACCATCTCCCGGGCGAAAAAGACCATCTCCAGGAAGCGATTCTACATAAGAACGAGGCACGAGGCCTAGGGCATCACTACTGGGCGATCAGGAAGTCTCGTTGCGGAAGGCGGCTAGATCTGGAGTCGAGAACTTGGGATTTGGCAGAGAGATTAGATCTAAGAATGAAAAGTTTGAAATAATGCATCCTGAACTGTAGTCATTCCCCTATTTTTTTAACTCTAAAGTCTAAACCTTGTTAATGAGCAAAGTGAATACATGAATAATAACTTTTGAAAAAAAAAAAAAAAAAAAAAATAAGGATCAACACTTTGTTGTGCCAAACCGGGGCATTTAAAAAAAAAAACCAGGGCCAAAAATAACAAGAAGGAATAACACGGGGCAGTTTTGAAATATTCACAATGTTCTGAACAATAGCTTCAAGAATCTTCAATGTGCAAATCAGAGATCTATTCTCTCCCATGAGAGCGATCTATTCTCTCCCATGAGAGCGATTGATTCTTGTTTTCCTAGATCTTCTGATTCTTGTTTAACGTCACTTGATTAACTCTTTTTCTCCCCCGATCTCAGCTTAATTTGGGCGTCTTCGTCTTCTTCAGTTTCTCCTTTCTTTTTCTCTTGTTCTATTTCAGCCATTAAGGTTTCTGTAAATGGCAGAAGATTCTCACACTCGTAATGGTGAAGATCTATCAAATCGTTTAAAAGCCTTCTCCTTATCAGACTGGGAAGCTAAAGTATTTGATATCGCCCAAGATGACATTCGGCTTAGTGACGATGAATGTCAAAGGAGCCTTTTCAGAAAGGTTATCGGTGATCGGCCAGCAAGTTGGATTGGGATCAGACGTGCAATGTCACAAATTTGGAAGCTCAATCAGCCTGTGGAAGTCAAGGAGCTCAGTCCAAATTACTTCCAATTCATTTTCCAAAATCTAGAAGACAAGAAGAAGGTGGCAACAGGCACAAACTGGAGTTTTGAAAATCAATACCTAATTCTCCGTGAGTGGACAAGAGGGATTTGTAGCAAGCATCCGAGTTTTCAATAGCTTAATTTATGGGTTCAAGTTCACAACATTCCGCTCAATTGGGTCAGTTTTGAGGTGGGTTTCAAAATTGGGAAAGCTTTCAAGAACCTAAAGAATGTGGTGTTGGCTACTATTGGCAATCATGGAGGGAAATTATTGCGATTGCTGGTCACTCTGGATACAGATGAGCCTATTCCTAGAATCCTTAATATTCGGCTGGGTGATCAAGTAGTCAATGTTATGTTTAAGTATGAAAAGCTTCTGAATCTTTGTCATTACTGTGGCAAGATTGGTCATCTAGACCGTTCTTGTGCCAAGAAAATGAATGATGTAGCTAATAACTCCATGAGAGAGGGGCAATATGGTGACTGGTTGAGGGCTGCTGAGGACCAACGATGGTCTCCTGGAAATGTTTCTGGCTCAAGATCTTCCCCTCCAAGGGATTCACCATCCATGGCTGAGAACACTACAGCTCAAGATTTTTCTTCTAGCCTTCCCACGAGTAGTCATCGTCTTACCCAGAGCCAAGAGGATAACCTATCTCCGGCTAAATCTGTAGCCACCCCATCCCTTGTTTCTGCTATCCAAGCCCCCATTATTGAGGAAGGCTTAGTGGAAAACAACCTTCAGATAGTGGAATCCTCAGGGATGGATATAGAAAAGGAAGTTTCTATCCCCAACACTTTATTTCTGCAAGATTACCAACAAGGCTTCAAAACTCTTTCTCTCAAATCATGGAAGAGGGCAGACAACAGTAAAGGCAGGCTGCAAAGAACTTCTGAGCCACCTTTAATCATTGATCAGTTATTGAAAGGAAAAAGGGTCAGAGAAAATCTCACTTCAGAAGAAGCTACAAATGAGGATGCTGATATCAACCAGGTTCAAGCCAAAAAACTCAAAGCACTATCTGAAAAGGTGGGGGTTGTCAGCCTTGAATGACACCACCCTGATCAATGTTAGCTATAGTGTAGAATTGTAGAGGGCTGGGTGGGCCCTCTACAATTTCCCAAATCAGAGAGTTATTGAGAACTCACCATCCGAATTTTCTGTTCCTGTCTGAAACAAAAAAAACAAAATGCTTTTGTTAGATCTGTTTGTAATAAATTAGGTTTTGATAATAGGATGATTGTTGTTGACCCTGTTGGGCTTAGTGGTGGTCTGGTTCTGTGTTGGACTCCCATTATCACTGTTCTTAATATTCAGTCTAAAGACTTCTATATTGCTGTTAATTTTCAAATCAATTCAGATGTACCCCAATGGGGAATTTTTGTTTACCTTAGTCCCTGTAGATTAATCAGAGAGAAACAATGGGATGACATGATTGTGGACAAGCAGTCATGGGGTCACAACTGGTTCTCTCTTGGTGATTGGAATGATCTTCTTGCTCTATCTGACAAGACAGGAGGCATCACTAGAAGGGAGCATAGCTTTCAAGGTTTCCAAAACTTCATCAATGCAATGGATATGTCAGAAGTCAAATTTGAGGGCTACCCCTTTACTTGGTGTAACAACCGAGCTGTTCCTGACCTTGTTGAAGAAAAACTTGACAGAGCCTTTGGTTCCTTAGGCTGGTCTCAACTCTTTCCTAATGCATCTATTCACAATGTTATCAGGAGCTCCTCTGACCACTCTGCTCTGCTTCTTGATTTGGGGATGCCAAGACAGAAAAGTAAATCCCCCTTCCATTTTGACAAAAGATGGATCAGTAAAGAAGGCTTCAGAGATGTTGTGGAAAAAGCTTGGATCACACCAGTGAATGGCACTCCTTTTTTTAAGTTGAAGGAAAAAGTTAAATTCACCAGGATTTGTAATATCCCGACTTTTATCAGTATAATAATATTTCAGTTCCGATATTATTTTTCGGAGTTCATTAATTTCAGTTATTTCAGTCGAAATTACCGGGAATTATTTTCAACGTACCGTTTACGTTCGGAATAAGTTTGGTAATTAAGCATTATGCTTAATTGAATAATTAAGCATAGTTCGAGTCGATGCCATGGCCTTACCCAAGACTTGTCAAAGCCTTAGTATATCAATGATTTATTTTCTAAGTCATTTGATCACAAGAAAAAGGCTGAACGTCGGTCGCACCCAGCCCAGCCATTGCCGTGCGCCTGCCCAAGGGCGAGCGCATTCCAAGCCCTATGCTTAAATTTCAGTCCAAATCTCTTAAGGCCCAAGTGTTGCACGTGATTAAGTGGCAAATGGAGGTTAATTAAGCTTAAGTTACCATGAAAAAAGTTTATGGAAAGTCAATGTTCATTAGCATTAGTTTAATGTGAGTGGAGCATGGGCATTCATTACAATAATGCATTGTGTAAGAGATGCTTGTTCAGACCTTGTCCCTCTCCATCATGTGATGCCTTGGTCAGCCAAAAATGCTCCAAAAGCCCAACAAAAACGTGCAAGACCCCCCCCTCCCAAAGTCCAAGGCACATTGAGAAGAGGAATGCCACATTAGTTTTTGTTCCCCACTTTGTCTCCATGTTGTGCCTAATTTCTAACGCCACTTGAGGTCTTTAGAAGCCCTCACTTCATCAGCTATAACACTCAATTGATGTCTCAGCATTTGCTGAGTATAATTGAGATGAATTTTGTCCAAGTCCCTCCCATTAAGATAAAAGCCGAGAAGGAAAATTCAAGAACACACAGAAATCCTGAGTGCACACTTGTGTTTATTTTCAAATCCTAGCCATCAAATCTTGCTACCAACCATATTATATCACTCTTACCCCATTCTACACTTCTCATAGAAGGGTTTTGATGCATTAAACTCAAGAATATTCGAAGAAAACAAGCCACAAAGCCGCAGCAACAAGAACCAAGCGAAAATCGAGCACACCGAGCTTCCTTGCATTTTTTTCTTAGAAGTTTTCAAGGTTTGTTTGTTAAATCCTTTTTAGGACCTGTTATGCATGATATGAGGATGTGAATGATG